CCCTGAGCCGGTGAGATTTGAACAGCCGAACTGCAGTCAGCTGAAGTAACCTGCAGTGCTGCATTTAACCACTGCTCCCCCCCTCTTGATCATGGATGTTGCAACAGTTGTGTGAAAAAGTCATAAAGTCACTTTTTCCACTTTAAGTCAGGCATTTTCTGACATGTAATCATAGGGATGCTGCAACGGGTGAAAAAATCACAAGTCACTTTTTCAGTCTGCTGTAATTTTCAGCTGTTATTGTAATAACAGCTGAAAATTAAAGCAGACTGAAAAAGTGACTTGTGATTTTTTTCACCCGTTGCAGCATCCCTATGATTACATGATCAAAATGTGGGCATTTAGCAACTGGCATGTATCACAATTGCAATGTCCTAAAATGGAGCAAAAATGTCATAAAATGGGGAAAGCTCACTTAACTTTCTTGCTCAGCAGCAAATTTTGGACTCAATTGTAAGTTGAAGACTAGCTGCAAATGATTTGGAGTTAAATAATAGAGTCATTTATTATACCTTGCAAAGAATGTATTTGAACAGAAAGTGATGTTTCCCTTCAAATAATAGACAAGTCAGTACTGCATAAATCTTCATAAGCAGGTTCATTACAAATAAAAATACACATTTTGGTGGGTAAACATTTCTCAAAAAGGAATACAATTTATAAGGACATCACAATTGATTTCCATAGCAACATTCTGAAATGGACTTGTCATGGGTATATCTCCTACGGCGCTGTTACAGAATTATGTAGATTGAGTATTTAGGAAAACCTTGGCAATGATGAATGGGTAAAGCACAAGCATTTTTTTAAATTTAAGCTTGCAATAGCTTAATGGCAGCTGATTAATTATAGAAACTCAGCTTAGAAGTAAGCAACGATGGATGTTGAACTAACATTTACTTGCTTATTCTATTGAACATTTGAAATTGTCAAAATTTACAGGATTGGTAGCTTCAGTAATATTTGTTAATCATTACTCATTAAATATGAAAAATATTTTTGCCTAATGATTTTAGGGCATTCTTGGTTCATTATTTTTATTCCTTTGTTAATGCCCTCTAGTGGATTATTGCAGCCACTGTAATTTTAAAAAGAGGAAACCAGATTGTTCTTTCTAACTGGCTGTTTCGTATTTGAACTTTTGTCAGGAATCTTTCTAGATGTTAACAGCTGACAATGTTGATCTCATTCAGTGCTCATTTGCAGCATAAGCTATATTGTATTCAATACACTATTGTATATTTATAGAAAGGCAATACACTGGCATGTAAATTCATATGCAAAATATTTTTATAACCATGTAATTTAATAGGGAAAATTGCATATTTCCTTGCAATATGAGTGGATTTGACCTCATATTCTCATAATAGTAATGAGTGTTTTTGCCAAGTAGAGACTCCTAAAAATCTAGTAAATTTCTATTGTTCTGGCAGTACAAAGTAATTTACACAGTAGATGTTATATTAAGGCGTGTTAAAACTTAAATGTATGCTAGTGTAGATTATCAGATTTTTCTAATGTCTGATCACCAGAAAAGGTTGAAATTCTATAGGTGTATATAAAGAAGTTGGAATATGACTCATTGAATTTTAATACATTTCACACAGTACAAAGCTCTAATTCAATAGTACTGTCTTGGCTGAAAGAGCTTGCTATACTCCCACAATATGCAAAGCCACAGTTTACATAATTAATACAATTATTTAATAAGCTTTAGAATTCAGATGAATGTGTCATGATTTATAAACATAGTGGGTGGCTTTATACAATAATCTAAAATCCATTTTGGCTTCTAGGTACAGGTGAAGAGAATCCATGCAAGATTGTCATTAGAATAATATGCAGGGCGAAAAAACTTAGTGGTTTTGTTGCAGTTGTTTATTTTCACAGTCTTTGCATGATAGGTTGGACCATTAATTACATAGGTTAAAATGTAATTGGCTAGGACACTAGGTGGCAGTGAGGTGTGCTTTTCAAATATTAATAAATGAATTAATGCAGAGAGCATCTTGTGCGAACAAACTCCCTGACTGGCAGAGATCACTCATGTTCCAAGCTGTAATCTTCAGCTGCATTTGGAAATGTTAGGAACTAAATGTTACATTTTGAATATAAAACATAATGAGCTGCAGTCTTTTCATATACCATATTTTTCAGAGTATAAGATGCACCAAGATTTTGAAGAGGCAAATTTTTTAAAAAAGTTTTTGCACTCTGCAGACCTCTCCAAAAACGGGCCCATTTTTTTTTTCAAAAAAAGGGCATGAACAGCCTTTAGGAGGCTTATAGAGTATTCCTAGGGGACTGGGGGGGGGGGGCAAACTTTCTGCCCTTCCCAGCCCCCAGGAGGATTCTGAAAGCCTCATAAAGACTATGCACGGCCATTTTGTGAAGGGGGTGGGGTTTCTGGAGGCAAAAAAAAAATGCTGTATTCAGTGTATAAGACGCACCCAGATTTTGAGCCTCTTTCTTTGAGGGAAAAAAGTGCATCTTATACTCCGAAAAATACAGTACCTTTTGTTGCCAGTGTTATGAATCATGAGTACTATAGTCCAGAAATAGGTTTCTAGCAGTTCAGTCCGGTTCGGCTGAACCAGTAGTGCTTTGCTGGCCTGGGTCACTGGAAGTGGCAGCAATCCAGCCCTGCCACACCTCTGAACTGGTTCCCCAGTTGGTGCAGCATCGGTTTTTTTTCATTTTTAAATGTTCTGCGGATGTGCAGACCTATTTATGGGCAATTGTGCATGTGCGCAGAGTGCGCATCTGGCGCATGCACAAAATTGTGCAGTACTGAACCAGCACTAATGCTGGCAGCAACCCAACCACGCTATAGTCCAAAAGAGTCACCATATAGGCGAGATGTGCAGCATGAAAATTAAATAAAAATAAGAATGCCAAATTCTGTAAATGAATTGTTACATCTGACAGCACAATTACTAAGCTATTAGATTCTTTCTTCCCCTTTTCTCTTGTGGAGATAGCTGAACCAGGTTGTTTTCTGATAAATAGGTATTTTGTAATACTGTTGTAAATTACTTATGGCAAGTAATTAAGAAATTTGCAAGACCACTTCCCCCCCATACTCTAAACCAGTGTTTCTCAATCTTAACCAATTAAAGATGTATAGAATTCAACTCCCAGATTCCACAGCCAGTCCACACATCTTGAAGTTTCTAAGGTTGAGAAACACTTCTATAAAAATGTTAAATATATGCACCTGCTCATATTAACCAGAACCACTTTAATGGTTCCTTTGTTCTTTAGAAGTTTACCTGTTCTGAAGGTTCACTGAAACTACTACTTCAATAAAAAAAAATTTTTTTTTCAATAAACATCTATGGACACACAAACTACACCTCTTTGCCAATAACTTCTAAGTATAAATGCTTATATGCAGTATATCCAATATTAACGATCCGATAACTTGTTTAGATAAAGGTCTGCTCAATTAAGCTTACAGTCAAGTGTGGAGATTACACAGCTGTCTCTCCCAGAAGTATCAGTAGGATAAGGGGAGAGCATATAAGCATAAATTTACTTGCTGACTTCTAATTGGTCAGCAGGCACTTCTATAAAACTTGAGTTTCACAATAACTTTTGCTGGGAAACTTGGAGAAAAATAAATAAATCTTTAAATAGAAAGGGAGTGCTTCTATGTAACTTCCAGAGAAATCAAAAGAAGGTAAAATATAGTTCAGTATAAAAATAGTAGTTTAAATATACATCTAATAAATGTGCAGAGAAAAAACAGCCTTATTAATGCTTATTTAGATATTAATGATGCTTATCCTGAAAAGGTTTGTGCCTAATTTGACTGTGGTGATATAATTTGCTAAGCTATGATTTGTTTAAAGAATGGTTTGTTAAATAACTTACAATGGATAGGTTTATGCAACATATTAACCCATTATCAAACAGTAACTTACAGTGTAATATGTGTGAAAGACCTAAAATAATCTTATATAAAGATTAAGCCTGAAACGAGGAAAATACATAAAATATGTATCTGAACTAAAAATTATAATTAAGAAGTACACTTTCTGAAACATGTTCTCTTAACATATTTACTCTGGTTTCTCTTCAGACCGTATAAATCTTTTGCCTTTTTTTAAAGAATTTGAATTTCTTCGTGTCATAAAAAACAACTACCATATGGGTTAGTTAGGTTCAGAAGCTCTTATTGACTATCCTTTGGAATTTTACTTGTGGAGAAAGGTTTACTAGTGGTTTATTTGTGGTTTAGTAATAGCCTTACATGTTTTGTATTTTCACAAAACAGTACCAGACTAACATAACTGTTATGTTATTCAAAGAACCATTTCTCTTTAATTAAAAGAAGCTTAAATTCTAGAGATTTCATGGATACAGCTACAGTATTTAATTTTTTACAACATCATGGATGTTCTTAATTGTTGCCTTTATTTATTTATGTATACATATTTTTATGTTTCTTCGATTTCCTGCTAGTTCATAGCCCTGATGTTTCCCAATGATCTTCCCTCCAAGCATCTCCAAAATCAACCAACTGAACAAAAATAAAAAGCTCTTAAGTTGAGCAAAACTGCTGACAATTTCCAAGCATTTTGGGTGCATTGTGAACAATACATAAGTGATCTGCCATTCTGCAAGAAATTTGATCAACCTCCTACTCTATTCTGAAAATTTAGGCTCAATCCTAGTTTGTTTCTAACCCAGCCAAGGTCAACTAGCTGCACCCCCTTGCAGTGTCTGCAAGTACTTTTAATTTAGCATTTGTGGAGAATTTTAGATTCACTGGTTTGGATCCTGAATGATTAAGCATATTTGAAATTGAAATCAATGGATCTTTATGATAATTAAAGTTTAGGTTATAATTAGTTGTCTAATAAGTAATACTTGGTTCATAACACTAATGAGAGTTTTTTGGTTAAAAATGTACAAGCTAGGTTTTTTGTTCTGCTGTCATATAGTGAAGAATGAATTGCCAAGAAAATTACGGAACTGCTTTCACGGGGTGTGGCATGGTAGAAGCAGTATCTCGTGAAGAATTGTCTGAAGCATCTAGTCCTGAAGAAGAAGTGAAGGTAGATGACTTTCTGTTTAACCACTAAGGATACTTGTCTAGATTTATGTGGTTTGATGTAATTTACTGTATGTGAATGCTAAATTCTTTAACCCTCAAGTCTATCCCATGAAAAACATTGGAGAAAGCTCCTGTCCCACTGATGAATCTTAAACTATATCAGAAAAGAACCAAGTGGTTATCAAAGTGTTGTTTTTGTTACATGGTTGCTTCTCACAGTGATTGAAAACACAATCTAAGGGACATGAAATAAAGTTAAGATGAGCAGCAATGTACTATGCTACCAGATTAATGGACCTAAATAATAAAACTACTAATATTACCAACTGAAACTATGTGGCGTGATTTATGGGTGGTGTGAAGAAATAGTTTACTGATTTATAATTTGTTGTATAAACTACAAGTATTTGCATTCACAGCACAGGCTATGTCATAGACTCTGGTTTACAAACTACAACAGTAGTTTATAAATCTAATCTCATTATGGCATATTATGCTTTGAACCCTTACACAGTTTGCTCCCTTAAAACCAGAAATATTTTTCACCCCATCCCCATAGTTAAGTCATGAGCATGCACAGCAGTGGTGGGTTACTAATTTTTTTACTACCGGTTTGGGCATGCTCCCACGCATGGGCAGAAGCATCCAGGCGGGTGGGCAGAACCTCCCATCACCATCACTCCCGGTTTGCTGGATCCGGGCCGAACTGGCAGCAACCCATGTCTGATGCATAGAGCTGGTTTTACGAAAAAGTAATGTTTGAAAGAAGTAAATTTTTAGGCACAAAAGTAAAATTGAGGCAAGTTAGAAAGTAAATGGTAGGATATTCAAGACTACTAATTCTACAGGAAAAAATAGACATTATATATTTATTAATTTTTTCTTTAAGGAACTATATCAGCCCCTGAAAGTTTACTTGAGAGTTCGGCCCTTCTCAAAGGCAGAGCTTGAAAATAATGAAAACCAGGTATGTTATACATCATTTTGAACATTCAGAACAAGTAATCTAAAAATGATGTTTTCACTATTTTTGTTTCTTAACAAGCTCTTAGATTGTTTTTCATCATCATTGTCTAAGTATAACCCATACTAGAATGTGCTATTGATTTGCTTATGATTGCCTTAATAATGGTTTTGTCATTAATGAAAATGTGCCTCTTTCAGTGTATTTCTACTTGATTTCTGAAATTATTGCTGTAGACCTGTTACTATGGCTACAGAGGGTCCTCATTTAACGACCACTTGTTCAGTGTTTATTTGAAGCTACCACGGCACTGAATGACATTTATGACTGGTCCTGTTGCAGTCATTACAGTGTATTTACAGTCATATGATCTCAATTCAGGCAATTGGGGCATCACACATATATGATTGCCATTAGTAAGGTTTACTGCTGACTTCAGATAGAAAAAGTCAGTGGGCAAACCAGCAGTTGGCAGCAAATGGCAATCATGTGACATCAGGCCTAACAATTGTGCAATTTTTTTTTAAATGACAGAAACCAAAACTGACAGTTGTTGGAAGCCAGTGCGGTCATGTTACATCATGCTACCTAGCAATAGAGTTGCTTCTCCCAACTATTCTTTTAGTCTATACAGGGATAGCAACCATTTGTTTTAGCAAGAGCTCTTCAGCTAGGAAATATTTTTGGTATAGATTTTCATTTTATGCATTTAAAAGTATTTTACTTTTGATTTGTTTCTCCCATTATACTTTTAAATAGTTTGATTTCTGCATAAGACTTTGCTATTTTTTATATATTTTATATATTTTTAGAGCCGAGGTGTCGCAGTGGTTAAATGCAGCACTGCAGGCTACTTCAGCTGACTGCAGTTCTGCAGTTCGGCTGTTCAAATCCTCAAGGTTGACTCAGCCTTCCATCCTTCCGAGGTGGGTAAAATGAGGACCCGGATTGTTGGGGGCAATATGCTGACTCTGTAAACCGCTTAGAGAGGGCTAAAAGCCCTATGAAGCGGTATATAAGTCTAACTGCTATTGCTATTGCTATATTGATTGTAGATTAGGTTATGCTTTAATTGAACAGCAGTATGAGATATTTTAGCTAGAGGATAACTAATTCATTTTTAAAATAACCATACAAATAAACTACTGTGTAAGTTTAAAATGCACAATACAGCATAATATTTAGATCCTAAAATCTAAATATGTTGGTTCTTCTACCTGAATTTGTGTCAGACAATAGGTTCTCCTGATACAAAATATTTTAACAACTTTAGCAATGTTAAGATGTATGGAATCAACTCCCAGAATTCCCCAATCAAATAGTTACAGTTGTCGATGTTTGAAAAAGACTGCTGTAGAATATCAGAATATCTTCTGCTATTTCTACAACTATGCGCTCCATCAAGTTGTTATGAAAACTAAATGGATAATACAAGTGGTTTGCATATACTGCATATCTTGGATATTGTGTCATCATTTAATTTGTAAAGTATATTAAAAAGCTTTTTGTATTAAGGACTGCTTAATTATTGAAAATCAAGAGACAATAACACTTCAGACTCCAAAAGAATTGGCGCAAATAAAGAATAATGAAAAGAAGATTGGACAATCTGCACATCAATTCACCTTCACAAAGGTAAGTTGTCCCACTTTCCTTCCATGCCCCAAATTTCAGAGTTTAAAACACAGGTAAATTAGTGTCAAAATATTATTTTTTGCTTAGTAATTTGTAAAAAAATGCCATCTTAAATATACAAATATACAATTTTATACAGTATATAATTAAGCACAAATTAGTTTTCAATAGTAAAGAAGTAACCAACAATATTATCTTAAGGAATACACTGCAACCCTTTGATTTCAGTGGAATTGAAGCTTTCAAAATCAGATGGACTGCTACATCCTCTGGTCCAATCTAATATCACATAAAAACTATATAAACCTAACTGCAGTTCCTGGAGAGGCCAATTTAGATCAGAACTATAATACTTGAATTTTAGGATTAACCTTTTTAAAGCTAAAATAATTTATTTTCTATAAGTGCTATTTTGAGTGGAAAATCCAACAGGCACTTTGCTGCTTCATGAGTTCAATAATCTAGACAATTTTTTTCTCATTACATTTTTTTTCATCACATAGTCAATATTAACAAGGGAAATTTATATTTAATATCCATATACCATAGTTATGTTAGATAAATTACGTTCTGAAGCCATCTTTTTCTTGTGGTTTCAAAAATGGAAAACTTGATGAAAAAGGATGAAAAAAATATAATAGAAGTGTTTTTGGAAAAATCTGAACATTCATAAAAAAGTAAAAGTAAAAAAAAGGTTGTAAAGATTATTTGTGAAGCTCTCATGCATCTTGTTTAATTTGTCTTTGAAAATAACTTCTATTCTCTGTATAGGTTTTTGGACCAGATACAACGCAAAATGAATTTTTTGAAGGCACAATGAAAGATATTGTAAACGCTTACCTTGACGGAAGAAATGGCCTTGTTTTTACTTATGGCGTCACTAATGCAGGCAAAAGTTTCACTGTCCAAGGTATAATCTGAGGTTCAAAATTCAGAACATCTTCTAATTTTGCAGCATGAAAGTGTTGGAAAAAAATGTCCTGGGTTCAGTTCCAGGTGGGGAAAAAGACACTGGAAACATGGACGCTGATTGGAAAGATGGTTTAATGGTGGACAGGATCACATGGCTTGAGCTCCTGAACAGAAAAGGGGATCACATGGTTTAAGATGTTTGGTGAAGAAGAAAAAAGAGTGAGATGCTGGAAGTTCCTGGTTTTATGCCATCTCTGGTCTTTGATCTTGATCTTGTATTCTGATTGGTTGTTAGACTCCCATGGGGCCATCTCTCTAGGCTGTCTTGAGTCCAGGTTTGGTTGAGCATTACTTCTTCCCAGGTGCCCTGTGGTAAGATGTGTAAAGGGTTAATACTATCATGCCTTAATGCCATCACCCTGGCGCTAAAGGGGCAGATCTTTGTTATGCAGAATGGACTGACCCAGGCTTTTTAAATGGCCCATTGACAAAGGTGGGAGCTATTCAGAGTGAGTCTTCTACCTGCCTAAAAACAAATTTCTCCATTTCTGATTCACGGACATATAATATTCTGCCTTTTCAATGTTTCCAAAGATATTTCATTTTTCTAGGAGAGAGATTTAACTTCCTACAAAAGGAAACAAAATTAATTATACCTTTAGGTTGTCCAAAAGATGGTGGCATTCTTCCTCGCTCCCTTGATATGATCTTTAATCATATAAAAGGAAGACAGTATTCAAAGATGAATTTAAAACCTTGCTTCAGTAATCTTACCAAGATGCTAAATGACATGCAAGTTAAGCAAGAAGAATCCATTAAAGCTGCACTTCTTTTTTCT